GCTGGCGTTCAATATGACCTCCACAGACAGACACACAGACAGAGAAAATCCTACAGATGATGCAACCCAGGGTTGTCATGGAAACGGCTTGTGTTTCCATGGAAACGGTGGAGGATGCCGTGGTGACCAGGCTAACCCCCATGGCGACAGCTCGACTCTGGGGCACTTAGCCTTTTGCTATTTCGCTCTGGCTGTGTGTGTGTGTGTGTGTGTGTGTGTGTGTGTGTGTGTGTGTGTGTGAGAAAGAGTGTGTCTGTCTGTCTGTCTGGGACTTGTGGATCTGTTTCAGTTTGTCTCAATCTCTCTCTCGACCATGTGTGAAGTCGGTGGGAGAGTTATTATTAAACCATCTGTATGTAACGTTCAGTGAACTGTAGCTAACAGCGCCACCAGTGGTCGTTCATTAAACTGTAACTAACAGCGCCACCAGTGGTCGTTCATTAAACTGTAGCTAACAGCGCCACCAGTGGTCGTTCATTAAACTGTAGCTAACAGCGCCACCAGTGGTCGTTCATTGAACTGTAAATAAACAGCGCCACCAGTGGTCGTTCATTAAACTGTAGCTAACAGCGCCACCAGTGGTCGTTCATTAAACTGTAGCTAACAGCGCCACCAGTGGTCGTTCATTAAACTGTAGCTAACAGCGCCACCAGTGGTCGTTCATTAAACTGTAACTAACAGCGCCACCAGTGGTCGTTCATTAAACTGTAGCTAACAGCGCCACCAGTGGTCGTTCATTAAACTGTAGCTAACAGCGCCACCAGTGGTCGTTCATTGAACTGTAACTAACAGCGCCACCAGTGGTCGTTCATTAAACTGTAGCTAACAGCGCCACCAGTGGTCGTTCATTAAACTGTAGCTAACAGCGCCACCAGTGGTCGTTCAGTGAACTGTAACTAACAGCGCCACCAGTGGTCGTTCATTAAACTGTAGCTAACAGCGCCACCAGTGGTCGTTCAGTGAACTGTAACTAACAGCGCCACCAGTGGTCGTTCATTAAACTGTAGCTAACAGCGCCTCCAGTGGTCGTTCATTAAACTGTAGCTAACAGCGCCACCAGTGGTCGTTCATTAAACTGTAGCTAACAGCGCCACCAGTGGTCGTTCATTAAACTGTAGCTAACAGCGCCACCAGTGGTCGTTCAGTGAACTGTAGCTAACAGCGCCGCCAGTGGCCGTTCATTAAACTGTAACTAACAGCACCACCAGTGGTCGTTCATTAAACTGTAGCTAACAGCGCCACCAGTGGTCGTTCATTAAACTGTAACTAACAGCGCCACCAGTGGTCGTTCATTAAACTGTAGCTAACAGCGCCACCAGTGGTCGTTCATTAAACTGTAGCTAACAGCGCCACCAGTGGTCGTTCAGTGAACTGTAGAACTAACAGCGCCACCAGTGGTCGTTCAGTGAACTGTAGCTAACAGCGCCACCAGTGGTCGTTCAGTGAACTGTAACTAACAGCGCCACCAGTGGTCGTTCAGTGAACTGTAGCTAACAGCGCCACCGGTGGTCGTTCATTAAACTGTAGCCAACAGCGCCACCAGTGGTCGTTCATTAAACTGTAGCTAACAGCGCACCAGTGGTGTTCATTAAACTGTAGCTAACAGCGCCACCAGTGGTCGTTCATTAAACTGTAGCTAACAGCGCACCAGTGGTCGTTCATTAAACTGTAGCTAACAGCGCCACCGGTGGTCGTTCATTAAACTGTAGCTAACAGTGTCACCAGTGGCCGTTCAGTGAACTTTAGCTAACAGCGCCTCCAGTGGTCGTTCATTAAACTGTAGCTAACAGCGCCTCCAGTGGCCGTTCAGTGAACTTTAGCTAACAGCGCCTCCAGTGGTCGTTCATTAGTGTAGCTAACAGTGTCACCAGTGGCCGTTCAGTGAACTTTAGCTAACAGCGCCTCCAGTGGTCGTTCATTAAGCTGTAGCTAACAGTGTCACCAGTGGCCGTTCAGTGAACTTTAGCTAACAGCGCTCCAGTGGTTGTTCATTAAACTGTAGCTAACAGCGCCTCCGGTGGTCGTTCATTAAACTGTAACTAACAGCGCCACCAGTGGTCGTTCAGTGAACTGTAACTAACAGCGCCACCAGTGGTCGTTCATTAAACTGTAGCTAACAGCGCCTCCAGTGGTCGTTCAGTGAACTGTAGCTAACAGCGCCGCAAGTGGTCGTTCATTAAACTGTAGCTAACAGCGCCACCGTGGTCGTTCAGTGAACTGTAATAAAGCAGCTAACAGCGCCACCAGTGGTCGTTCAGTGAACTGTAACTAACAGCGCCACCAGTGGCCGTTCAGTGAACTTTAGCTAACAGCGCCACCGGTGGTCGTTCATTAAACTGTAGCCAACAGCGCCACCAGTGGTCATTCATTAAACTGTAACTAACAGCGCCACCAGTGGTCGTTCATTAAACTGTAGCTAACAGCGCCTCCAGTGGCCGTTCAGTGAACTTTAGCTAACAGCGCCTCCAGTGGTCGTTCATTAAGCTGTAGCTAACAGTGTCACCAGTGGCCGTTCAGTGAACTTTAGCTAACAGCGCCTCCAGTGGTCGTTCATTAAACTGTAGCTAACAGCGCCTCCAGTGGCCGTTCAGTGAACTTTAGCTAACAGCGCCTCCAGTGGTCGTTCATTAAGCTGTAGCTAACAGTGTCACCAGTGGCCGTTCAGTGAACTGTAGCTAACAGCGCCACCAGTGGTCGTTCATTAAACTGTAGCTAACAGCGCCTCCAGTGGTCGTTCATTAAGCTGTAGCTAACAGTGTCACCAGTGGCCGTTCAGTGAACTTTAGCTAACAGCGCCTCCAGTGGTCGTTCATTAAGCTGTAGCTAACAGCGCCACCAGTGGTCGTTCATTAAACTGTAACTAACAGCGCCACCAGTGGTCGTTCATTAAACTGTAGCTAACAGCGCCACCAGTGGTCGTTCATTAAACTGTAGCTAACAGCGCCACCAGTGGCCGTTCAGTGAACTGCATCCTGGGCGTCGGCCAACAGAGACAAACACTGAACGCTGTAAAATAACTGACGATCATATTTAGAATAAAGTTTCTATCTGCAATGTTCCTATATTTTATTTGGACCGTTAGCTCCATGCTAATAACTAGCTCACCATTTACAATTTACATATCAACCATCAACCTGACACCAGACCCACAATGCACAGCCAAGACACAGCCAGCTGGACAACCTCAGTTAGCTCAGCTACAGTTAGTTTGCTGGATGCCCCTGCCTCACATCGCTCTTGGCTAATAGAAAGCTATCTAAAGCTAAAATCAACACCGTTTGTCAGAATATCTTCATCCTACATAGAAACACATAGCAATCAGTCCACAGGCAGCAGAGGAACAAAGCTAAGCTACAACCCATTCACTGTCTGGCAATAAAACAGGATCAATACACAAACATTTAGATGTAATAAATGACTCTTTGTTTCTGTTTGATTTCATGGTGAAAAATGAATTCAGGTGGAGGTCCATGAAGTTCCAGCTATATAATATTCTGGAGACACTTCAGACGCAGGTGTAGCAACAGATTCTTCAGTGTCACATACGAAGGATTCAGATGAGTTTGTACGATTGATGAGACCTGTTGTTCCGGTCTGTCTGTAATGAAACTGATCTCCACCACTCTGTTGAATCTGTAGCTGTATGACTTCATTTATAATAATATACCTAATGATACCACCTGTGTCAGCCCGTTGTCAGGCCACTGATCACTGGACCTCCGCTGTAGCATCTCTTCTGGACGCTCCCGTCTGCCATGAAAGTCACGCAGCGTCGTATAAAGAGCAGGAGGTCCTCATATGGTGGCGGATGGATCAAACAAACACAGGATTTTGACTCAGGAGACCTTACGTAACGTAACTCAAATTAAAATAGTTTTGACAATAGTTTGTGTTGACTAACTCGTCTGTTTGTGTCTGTGAACGTTTATTTCCAGCTCCCCACTAACTGAAAGGCCTGAAGGCTAAACACATGAAGCACTTCAGATTCTTAACTGCAGCAGTAAAACAACAACGGGGGCATCATGAAATACACAGCAGTGTGTTTCTTATGCACAAGCAGAGCCATGATAAATGTGACTGCTGCCCTAAATAACATTAAAGTCTAAATCACATCAAGAACATAACGGGCCTGTTTCCAAGGCACAGACTCAGCCAAACTTCTACCTGATTCTCTTTAAAATTAGATTCTGATTTGATTTTTAAGTTCTCCGACTGTCCCGATATGTCATTTGAGACATGTGACCTCAACAGCTGAACAATTCAAATTTGACAGCTTTCCCGTCTCAGTCCGTCTCAGTGACACTTTCCATCAGTCTGTCAGTCTCAGAGAAACCAAACCAACGTTAAACTGCATTCAGGAGCTGCTCCTCGTCACCGGGACCAAAGTATCAGAGGATGGTTGCAACACAGACCTTTTCTCTTATAACACAGGAAGTCTCTTACCGCTGCCCTGCTGCATATGCTAACTGTACGAGCTGCTATTAGCTAGTTAGCGATCCTATTAGCTGTCTGTACCCGAGGGACCCAGCGGGGAATACTGCCTGGGGGGCGGGCCACAGACCTGGAGCGGCCGTCGATTATTTCAGCCTCCTTCTGATCCATTTATTGAAATTAAATCACTGATGAACTGCTAACAGAAGCAGCTAATAGCTAATTCAGCACACTGTTAATGAAGACTGAATCAGTTCACCTTCGGCGCAGTGCGGTCAGAAGTTCTGTATTAAAAGAGAACTCCACAGATTTATAATTCAACTCCTATTACATCATAAAGAATAACAATGGTCCCTAGTGGCCTCTACATTACCCACAATGCACCTCTAAGATTGGGCTATGTTGTGCTAGTAGCGGCTAATGTAGGCTGCAGCAGCTACAGAGGTCTAGTCAGATCACTTCAATCTAACTCAACCAATGCTGACTCGAGTGACATCACTTGAGGACATTAGTCAGGCTCCACTCAGCGTCCTCTGGAGAGGATTTATACAACGTAGAGTTTCACTCACATGCGTGCAGAGAGAAGTGTTTGCGCTCTGTGTTTCCAGCGGCAGAAGGTATGGGAGCGGCCACAGACGACCCCAAGGACCCGATGACTGGGCGAGCGGTGGCGGTGGTGGTGGCGGTGACAGCCGCTGACGAGCTGGAGGAGTCTCCTCCCTCCCCTAACAGGTGCTGGATGGAGTGGAGCTGGAAACAGGGGTCAGACAGCAGGACGGAGGCAGCTCGAGAGATCCTGAAGGGGTTTAAAGAGAAGGTTTGGGGTGAGGGAAGGAAGAAAGAGGACAAATGCTCATGTTATACTCACATTAACCACATTGTGATGCATGTTGCAATATTTTTACACATATCTTATCAATTTCATTTGGTATAATTATTAAAAATCGGAGGCTGCCCACCACGAGTCTGCTCAAAGTTTCTGCCTCTTAAAAGGATGCTCGCCTGGAAGCACCAAGATATGATTCATTGATCTTGGAAGATCAGCCATAGTTGGGTTCATTTGGTTCGTAAGAAAAATACAGTTGTTTTAGTTTTGGTCCAAACTGTTGAATGTGGAGTTGATTTGAACAGTTGATTCTGACTCCATCTTGAAAACACTGACTTTGCTGATACGAGCAGACAGGAGACATAAGTCAGACAAGAGGACATGATCTAATGGTGTCAGAGAGGTTTTCTGTTAGTGGTCAGTAAACATTGTGACCCAGCAGCAGTTAAACCAAACCTGACCAACACGTAGAAAAGCAACATCCCCCATCACAGGATGTTTTCTTGGAACTGAACCAGTGGAAGAGAAGCTGCCTTCTTCTACTTTTACACTCAATCTCACACATCCAACCTGATACACATCTGATCTTTCACTTCTTCCTCTCACCTCTCCTCCGTCAGCCTTTACCTGCCTCGTCTTGTTCTGACACATGTGAAAGCAGCTCTCTCTCTCTTTCTCTGCCGATCCATCCAGCGTTCAATCACTGCTGCTCTTGCTAATCAAACTCCCCACCTTCCCTCTCTCCTCTCCCCTGCGGCGCCACTCAATCCAACCTTTCGGCATCAATCTTTTATACCGGGGCTTTCCACAAGACCCGACTCCCCCTCACTCTCTCTGCTCTCTCCCTTTTGTCTCTTCTTATGACTGATACTGTACTCTGCTCTCTCCCTCTTCCTCTCCTACTATTTCTGGACTCTTCTGAGTGCCAACCTGCTATGAAGAACCCAGTGGTGTAGTGGAGTCTTGGTAGGTGGGTGTATACTGTGGCTTCTGACCTCCGCCCTCCTACTTTATGCTTTTACTCCACAGAATTTCAGAGGGAATATTATACTTTTTACTCCCCTACATTTATCTGACAGCTCGAGATACAAGTTACTCCACAGGTTTAGATGTTAAATAAAGTAGAATCGCTACCTTGCAGTTGTCGGTCTGGAAGTACTGTTGTCTAAAGCATTTGACCGTGGCTCATACTCTTCTTTTGGATAGAAATATGCATGCAACTGGTTTCAAAGTTATCTTACTGGCAGCAATAGCTGTGGATGGTCATCAATCTGGTTTCCTTAAAGTTACAGAAGAGGTGCCACAAAGTTCAATATTAGGTCCAATCCTGTTTACATCACACATTAACGATCTTGGCTTGTCAGCTGATAACAGCTCTATTTTTTATTATGCTGACGACACAGTAATTTACTTATCAATGGCCTTTAATTTAATGTAAGCATATAGTATATTTAGGTTTCATCTTTTTGGGGAAATAATTTATTTTATTAGTTATTGTGGTTAGAGAATTCGGTTTAGAAGAATTCACAATCATGGAGAAGACTGCTGATCTCACAGTTGTGCAGAAAACCATCATTGACTCCCTGCACAAGGTGGGTAAGACACAAAAAGTGATAGCAAAAGAAGCTGGGTGTTCTCAGAGTGCTGTCTCAAAGCACATTAATGGACAGTTAAGTGGAAGGCAGAAGTGTGGAAGAAAACGGTGTACAAGCCGGAGGGATGACCACCGCCTGGAGAAGATGGTCAGGAAAGGGCCATTCAAAAGTGTGGGGGAACTTCATAAGGAGTGGACTCAGGCTGGAGTTGCTGCTTCAAGAGAAACAACACGCAGGCGGATGCTGGACATGGGCTTCAAATGTCGAATTCCTGTGGTCAAGCCACTCCTCACGAGCAAGCAACGCCAGAGGCGCCTTAGCTGGGCTAGAGAGAAGAAAGACTGGACTGTTGGCCAGTGGTCCAAAGTCCTCTTTTCTGATGAGAAAAGAGGACCGTTTCTATTATTTAGTTTTAACCAACAACTGCATACTAAGTGATCTTTCATATTATATTCAAAACTGTAAAATAGTGAAGTTGGTAACTGCAGGAAATTTCAGCAGATAATTTCCTGGTTGAGGAACTTTTTGTACACAATTCTCTGTATTATGTATTCTTATAATTTTTGACTATCAAACAGACTAAATAGGCTTCTTTTCTGATGCTTGGGCATTGTTCTATTATACAACTTAATGAACAATCTACTTTACATTTTCTTCCTTACAGAAGTGAGCCAAATGCTGATATATAGGCCTACTGTGTATATTTTTAAAGTTTTCTAGCACACCTTCAAATAAATCACAATCCCTCATGTGGCTTTGGTGGCAATCAATTTAACTACTTGTACTTACATCTGCACTATATAATTTACTGCTAATCTGTTCATAATGTAAATATCTTAACTTAGTAGCTGTATATATTTTAGTGTATTCACCTCACCCCATTCATTCTGTTAATGCTGTTCATATTGTTAATATCCTGCTGCTTCAAGAGAAACGACACGCAGGCGGATGCTGGACATGGGCTTCAAATGTCGAATTCCTGTGGTCAAGCCGCTCCTCACGAGCAAGCAACGCCAGAGGCGCCTTAGCTGGGCTAGAGAGAAGAAAGACTGGACTGTTAGCCAGTGGTCCAAAGTCCTCTTTTCTGATGAGAGCAAGTTTTGCATCTCATTTGGCAACAAAGGTCCCAGAGTCTGGAGGAAGACCAGAGAGGCGCAAAATGGAAGATGCATGAAGTCCAGTGTTAAGTTTCCCCAGTCTGTGATGACTTGGGGGATTCATGTCAGCTGCTGGTGTTGGTCCTCTGTGCTTTATCAAGTCCAGCATAAACGCAGCTGTCTACCAGGACATTTTAGAGCACTTCATGCCTCCTTCAGTGGACCAGCTTTATGGGGATGCGGACTTCATCTTCCAGCAGGACTTGGCACCTGCCCACACTGCCAAAAGTACAAAATCCTGGTTGAACAACCATGGGATTACGGTGCTTGACTGGCCCGCAAACTCACCTGACCTGAACCCAATAGAAAATCTGTGGGGCATTGCCAAGAGAAAGCTGAACGGGAAGAGACCAAACAATAAAGAAGAGCTCAAGGCCGCGATTGAAGCATGTTGGTCTTCCATAACACCTGAGATATGCCACAAGATGGCAGCATCCATGCCACACCAGATTAAGGCAGTCATTCATGCAAAAGGGGCCCCAACCAAGTACTAAGTACAGATGCAAGATTTTACATTCAGAGGCCTGACATTTTTGTATTTAAAATCCTTTTTTTTTTATTGATTTCAAGCAGTATTCTAATTTTCTGAGTTTTTGAATTTGAGGTTTTCTGAAGCTGCAAGTCCTAATCAGCAAAATCAAAACAAATAAAAGCTTGAAATATATTGATTTGCATACTATTTGTCTATATAATATGTAAATTTCACCTTTAAAGTTGAGTTACAGAAATACATGCACTTTTTCAGGATATTCTAATTTTCCGAGTAGTACCTGTACATATGCACATTACTCTGCACGTTACTGCTTTGCACTTCTGGTTAGATGCTTAACTGCATTTTAGTTGTCTAGTACTTCTACTTTGTGCAATGACAATAAAGTTGAATCTAATCTAAAGTAGTGGGGGTCCCGACCCGCAAGTTTGGACCCACTGATGTTGGATATGAACAGTATTTTAGTTCCTTTTGACATTGCAAGTACTGAACCCTGGGTATAATCCGAAATTTTAAGTATCTACATACACATCTATCTTCTGAGCATTCCTGGTTTATAAATTCAACTTTAAATTTATAGCCAATCCCACTTCCCACATCCACATGTCCCTCTGGTTGCAAACATTTATTTGCTCCTCAGCTGCTGATAGGTCACCTGTGTCCTTCACAGGAGGAGTCCAGAGGGAACGACGTGGAAACATGGTGACATTTTCCAGTAAAATCTCCTCTGACCTTATCATTACAGCAGCCATGACACTTCCCACAGAGAGACTCTTCTCTCCTTCACCCAGTCAGCACATGTTCCTTCTTTACCTCTGTTTGGTTTCCATAATCAGCAGCCTCATCTTATCCAAACAGAGGGAAATGGAGCAGAAAGAGACGAGGAGAAGAAGAGCAGGGTGATTCACACGGCTGCAAAATGTCACAGACTGTGTCTTAGTCAAAGGTCTGTGCTTCAAGTCAACATGAGTCCATTGTGTTCCCTTTTTAATTAGAAAGCAACAAAGGCCGAATCATTTATAACAACGAGGGAAATTATTCAAATCGGGCAAATGAAAATGACTTTAACACGAGCACATGAATAAACCACAGGCAAATAACTGTCTAAGAAAAGACAAAAGACAAACGGCCCCACTGAAACGAGTGATGGACAGCAGAGATAGTCCATGTTTTACCACATGATGGATGAACAGCAGCCACAGTGGCTCAAACACACATTGACATTAACCAGCACCTGACTGATACTGCTCAATATTCACTCTGAGCCTTGTTTCCCAAAGTTATATCCAATTTCTCTGAGTTTGAACATTGTTGGGATAAGAGAGTTTACATCTTCAATAATCATTTAAACTTTAAACTGGAAATAACAATTTCATTCACTTTTACCCACAGAATGAATGAAATGCTGAGATATCGCTGCTGTGAATATTTTTTAGGTTTCTTACAATCCTTAAAATCAAGAAGGCCTCGCGACCTCCTGTAAATCTCTGGTGACCTCTAGTGGGGGTTTGGTCAACCCGCTGTGAAGGTCCCACAGTTTATCCTCCCAAGAGCTGAGTTTCAAACTAAATAAACAGCCAGGTTCACGTAGGCGATCCGAGTTAGCGGATAAAATACAATTCAAATGTTCCAGGACAACACAGATTATTTCCAGGATATTTGATCATTTTAATCAATTTCCAGGTGTTTCCATGAATGGAAAAATAGTCTCTGAATTTCCAGGTTTCC